TGTTGTAAGCAGCCCTGAGGACATTGAAAAATGAGAGGGATACATATGCAATATGCAGAGAGGATTCAAATCCATAGGCCAGTTTACATTGAAAATAGACAGGATAACCTTTATACAGCAATAGAACCAATTGTGAGACATCTTTGGAACTGACAATGTTTAATTTAGACCTCTCTCTCCTCCAGTGTGGAGTTCAGTGTGGAGTCCAGCAGAATCTGGTCTTTGACTAGGACTGTGCACCAGATTCAGCTGAATCCCAAATCAAATCAGGCCAAATCTTGCGAGGGAGGGAGGCAAGGAGACACAGTGTCCCCTTCACTGCTCTGCTTCCATCCCAACCATAATCAAGACTTAAAACCCCTATTTGAAATTTAGTCCCACCCTGGAATTGGTTCAGGACTGAATTCGGGTGCAGGAGTCCTCCGGATCCGGACCCCAGGTTGGGTAGTGGGGCTGTGATTTGCCCTATTTTTGATAGTATTGATTGGCTAGCGACAACCACAAGCTAGTGACAACCACAACCACAACCTCAGCCTCCTTTCCAGACCCATGCATACACACCTTCTTCCCTAACCCCCAGAGCAGTTTTGCACTGGTTCAACAACACCCCTTCTCCCACAAAAAAAACCCAACATGGTGGGAAAGAGGTGTAGCCCAATGGTATAGTACTTGTCTTACATGCAGAAGGTCCCAGGTCCGATCCCTGGCATCTCCAGATAGGGCTAAAAGAGACTCATGTCTGAAACCCGGGAAAGCACTCCCAGTCAGTGTTGAAAGAGGAATCCCTAGGGTACCTTGCAAGAGGGAAAGGAGGCCCTTCCCAACCTCACTAAAAATATCAGTTTACCACAATAGCCACATTAGAAATTACAACATTTTACATGACACAAGTACTCAAAGCTTCTGGAGTGAAGGCAAGGTGATGTCAGGGATGTGGCTCAACTGAGCACAGGGGAACAGTCAAACTCAGTAATTGAGCCGAGTGAGAGAGAGGCTGGCTCTGCAGACAAAAGCTGGCTAATAGAAATGGGAAGGGGGAGCTCGTCCCCCCTTCATGAAGAAGTCACAGACACAGGTAGCTCTCAAGCAGGGGGAGAGGTAGGAGGCAGTCAGAGTGTTACTAGGCAACCAGCAGAGAGGACGAGGACAAAGACTGTGTACAGTGGAAGAGGGGAGGAGAAAGTCCAACCTCTCAGTCTCTGTTCTCAGAGACTGGATAAGATCAGAGGGCAATGGAAGGGCAAGAGGGGAAGGGTGGGAATCTGGTGTCCTTTCTGCTGTGAGAGGGGCGGAGTTTCAGACTGACCAACTCCTTCAATGCGAGCAGGCTAGAAGCTGTACTCTAGATGTGTTTTTGTAAATAAAAGTACCCTAAAACTGCCAGACAGTCATTAATTCTTACTGAGGCTTGCTTGCCTGCCTGAGATCATTACAGGTTAGGAGGAAGGGGGGAGAATTGTACACCTTTGTGCTGCAGTGTGAGGAGGACAGGAAGCTTATTCAGGGTTTGATCTTGTTGCGGCAGCGCATGGCCACACACATAGACGTTACACACTCCATTGTCTGATGGGTGGTTTGGGGGCCTCCCCAGGTCTGTGCCCCCAACAGGGTCCAGTTTTGCCAACCCCTAAGTTATGCTTCTGAGTGCTGACGATACTGAGATAAAGTAACGATCTGAGTCAGCTTCAAAAGCCACTTTGTTCATTCCTATAATGACACTTTCAGCTCACAACCACCATAAGCAAGTACAGGGCATTAAGCGTTAGGAAGAATGGAGGACACCCACATAAGCCTCATTCAATGAGAAGCAGAAGTGTTGCTCTATTTTCATTCGGTTCATGATCCATTGACTTACCCACCAATTTAAATAGCAAATTTAGGCCCAATTCACACTGGCAGAGTTCAAGAGGTAGGTGGAAGGAGGAAGGCCATCTTGCTCATATTTCCTTCCTCTACCCTCATGCTTCATCTAGATAAATGCTTGCAGCAATTCTGCATTTCTACTTGGTGCAGCCTTGGGCTATCAATTTAATATCAAATCACAGTAGCACAGCTTAGTCAGGACAGGGCAGGTGGGCCATTTTAGATTTTGTAGGTGTGAAGGAGAATGCACGCCAAGCTTCAAAGGTCTGCTCTTGGATATAGCAAAGAGTAAGTTTTCATAAAGCAGAATGTTTTATGGATATTTCTTATGGTTACTTTTTGTGTTCCCTGATAATGAGTGGTGCTCCTGAAACATTTTTGCATGTGGTCTGAAATCAGTGGTGTGCGGTGATTTTTTTCTGTAGGGGAGCAGTTAGAGCAAGAGGTGCCAGCTTGCAAAGGGAGTCTGTGTGTGTGTGTGTGTGTGTGTGTCCCTCCCTAAGACGGGCAGAAGCTTCCTGGGCTTTGGAAATGAGGTGCCAGGCTATAATACTTTAATTTACCAGGAACATTTAGAAGACTAGCCTAGTCCCCTTAGTCCATTGACCCCACATCACTGTCTGACATATTGTAGGGGACCAGACCACTTGTCATCCCTACAACAGCACTCAGATTTCGGAAATCCTTTCCTCTACTTTTCTCCTTCCAACTTATTTCTGCAATCCTGAGAAAGTGAACTTTGAGTTTCTGTACAATAAGCATGATACGTCATAGCACGTCCCACTGAAACTTTCTTGAACCTGAAGAATCTTCTATGGTCCTGATTCAGCAGGTGATTTGTCCTGCCTTGCAGCTTCATGAACTTAGGTAAAGGTAAAGGGACCCCTGACCATTAGGTCCAGTCGTGACCGACTCTGGGGTTGCGGCGCTCATCTCGCTTTATTGGCCGAGGGAGCCGGCGTACAACATCCAGGGCATGTGGCCAGCATGACTAAGCCGCTTCTGGTGAACCAGAGGGGTACCTATTTATCTACTTGCACTTTGACGTGCTTTCGAACTGCTAGGTTGGCAGGAGCAGTGACCGAGCAATGGGAGCTCACCCCGTCGCGGGGATTCGAACCACCGACCTTCTGATCTGCAAGCCCTAGGCTTTGTGGTTTAACCGTCCCCTTCATGAACTTACCCTCCCCAAAACATCTAACATGCAACAGATTACCTGAACAAATAGTCTATTGTATATATTGTTCATTTGCAAAATGTGCATGAACATCCAGCACCATCCTATCTGGTTGATTGATTGCAAACCTTTTTGGTGTGCAGATGAATAATCCAATGCAAATAAAAAAATGCTTTCATTATTTACTAACATGATGCAAGTCAAATGTCTAAAATCTAAGATGGTAAATACATAAATTGTCAGATACTCAATGCTGCTGAGTGGAAAGAATAATTAAATAGCTATTTGCTTTTTCCCAAAAAGTTTTTTCTCCACCCATAGAAGATCTCCTCAGTAGTATGCAAATTTGATTACATTCAATGTTTTCCTTTTGTTTGAAAGCATCTAAAGCATTTCTTCCTAAACAAAAAGCAATTATGTATTCTTTGCTCAACTATAATGTTGTTTCGTCTTTCTGAAATGCATTATACTGAAGCTGAAAGTCACAAATGCAATTAAACTTTGCAGAAGTGGTTAACTTCAAATGTTAATGGTAATAAACCTGCAGCAAAGCACACTTAATTACTATGTACTCACCATGTAATTACAGAGAAACAGCTACTCCATGGTAACGTGAGCATGTAAAAAATGAGAGAGACTGCACTGATGTCCTCATCATTTTTTGTAAGAGAAATCCTGATCTTCAGCTGAAATTTTCATTTCCCCATTACTTTTGTTCACGTATGATACGGTTTTGTATCCAAAGTAGTGCTACATGAACATCTCATCAGTGCAAGGACTTCTGTTTAAGGAATGGAATGATCTCCCAACCTTTCCCCCCCCCTCATGTTTTCCCCAAATTTTGTCTAGGGTTTCCCCAACCCTCTGAAGCTGGTTGGGGGAGGGTACTACTATTCCCTCTTTTTGAGAGACAAATTTCCCACCTGTCCCTGGAAGAAGAAGAAAGGTTGTTTATCCCAATGGTGAGAAAATTGATTTTGCCCAATGGGGAGAGACAGTGGCAGGCAATTTAAGCCTGATCCACCAAACTCTCCCCCCTCTCCTTGATTTGGCATGCACCCCTAGTGCCTATGGGTAAGACGGCCCTGCATCCTCCCTTCATCCAGTCCTCCCTATTTCCTCCTTCCATCCAGATGCCCTGTCTTTTGAAATCACATGCTTAGAAAGTTTTGTCTTTTTCCCGCTGTTCTCTCCAGAGGATTCCCATGCCATTGTGAAATGGTCACATAAGAAAGTCATATGCTAGAGCAGCTAGACGGCACACATTCTTTGTTCATGACAGCGACAAAATATATCTTGATTGACACTAGGAAAGTGGTGTGATCTAAAAATATGGACGCTCCTATATTTCTGTTGTCAAATAACTCACACAAAAAGAGAAGTAGGTGCTAAGATTAGCATCTCAGATAGCATTTCAGCAGGTCGTCATGTGGAGTTTTGCACTGATGTAGAGAAAATCCCTCCAGTCTATGTAGTAAGCCATTACACATGAATCGTTCTCTACATGGGCAGTGATCTCACAAAGCACACAGCAATAAAGTGGATTATGCAGGGCAGCTGTACTGTGTGCACCAGGAAGTACACTACAGGGAGTAAGGATCAGACACTGCAATTGCACTTCACCTTGCTCTCATTAAAGATGCTTGAGGAAATAATTCTTTCCATTTTCTAATACAAAGTGACCCGATGTACACTTCCTGGACTAATGTTCAGGACTGGAATACAGTAACCCTTCACATTTCATTTTTCCTCTGAATTTTTCAATGCAGTCTGCAGCTCAGAAAATGTACTAAACTGAATATTAAACTGCACATCTCTCTCGCTCTCTTGCTCTCTATATATTCAATATATGTATTTGGAAATGCATACTTTAGGATAAATGCACATTCTGAGAGAGAGAAAATGTTCCAAGTATTTAAATGTGAATTTTCAAACACTTAAAAAACAAATGTCTTAGCAGATGAATATGCAAATGCAATGCAATGGTCTCATGAATCAACACACGCAAAACTCATGCAGCCTGGAAATATACCAATCTATCTAGCTAGACAAGAAGAGGTGTGGATGAGCCCTAAGACTGCAGAACGGAAGCTGTTCTGTAGAAGGAATAATGTTACTAAGGCCCTGCATATTTTCCTTGATTCCTGCTTCTTTTGTGCCCAATCAAATCCCTTTGTTTGTTCAAGTATGAAAGGAATTGTGGGAAACCAGGCCATTTGTTCAAGGTAACAAGAAGTGAGCTTTTAATTTCTCCGATTGACTCATTTTTTCTTTTTCTTTTTTTGTAGTGTAACTGAATTATAGCATTAATTTATTCAGCAGTTCAAGGTCGTTGCTACCAGAACTTCTTGACATCCATATTACACTGGGAGAGATTTCTTTTTAAAATAAAGACAATGTCTCTATGTTCCATGAAAGCCCCACGGAGCTCATGCCAGAGACCTGAACATTTGGAGATGGGTTTTTTTCCGAGAGACAAAGGCACTGGCTTGTTTTACAGATGTAACTAAGAATGCCTTCTCTTTTATTTAAACTATAACTGAAGCGGAGCCCTTAGTGATTAGTATGAACCAGATGGAAATTGCTATCAGAAATTAAAAGCCCTTTGTAACTGTCAGAAACTATAAACATGCTTTGTGACAGAGAAGCTAAGTGACGCAAGGCACCTTTTGTTC